GAAAAATCAAAAAAAAAACAACAAACAAGATTGAATGATAAAGGAAGTGGAAGTAGCAGTAGCTGACCCTTTCGAGACATATGGACTGAGATGTACGGCATTGTCGACAGAAACAGCAGATCACTGTGCATACTGTGCAATGAAACGGGAGTAAGAGAGTCCTCCAGCTGTCCAGTCACCAGGTCTGAGATCTGAGCCCCAGCCAACCCGGTCACAGCAAGAAATGCCAGCAGAAGCCCAGCTCAGGACTCACTGGTCATGTCTGGTCTTCTGTGCATTTGGCTCATGGGCCCACATGTGTGTGGTTGGCTGTGATTTTGTTCTGCAGACAAATTCCATGATTCCTCGTGGAGGCAGCCAGCTCAGTGACAGGATCAGCACTGACAGCAGTGCCTCTCTCCTCACTCCAGGGTGTGTTCAGTGGCGCTGTCTTCTCTACGTGACTCAGAGTTCCGCAGAGTCAGAGCCGGGCACACACAATGGGTGCTCAGGGGTGTCTGCGGGGTGAGTGACTGACAGGAGAAGGATGGGGAACTAGAGGAAAGCTGTGCAGGCCAAGAGCTCCACATGGTGGCAGTGGGCTGGCCACAGCTGGCCTCTCTCACACCACCACGAGCCGCCCATTCATTCCAAGATGTCTAAGGAGCAATGATTGTCCGTGGCTTCAAAGAGCCTCTGGTCCTTCAGACACAACGATGTCAGGCAAATACAGAACAGAGTGATATTGGGGGGCAGGCTTACTGAAGTGGGGACATTGGGAGCTGGTGGTCATAGGGAAGACCACTGGGGGTGTGGTGAAGTGAAGGGGTGCCATGAGGGCAGGAATGGGGCCATGGAGACATGGTGTGGTGAGGGAAGGCACTTGCTGTCTGGGAAGGGTTCTCTGGAAGAAACCCGACCCTCAGAGAAACGTCACTTGGTGGCAGCTGCCATGATGTGACAGGGTTAGGTGTGATTGGCCCACGTTTATTTCTCTCCCGGGCTCCAAGATCCCCAAAGAGCCCCTGCATCCACCTCCAGTGCTTTTTGGGCTTGAAAATGTCTAACTCCCAGGCCCGGCCTC